CGTGACAGTGGGAGCAGACTTGTGGCTCGTGACTCAGTGGGACCCTAGTGTGGCTCAGTCGAGTTTATTTCAGGACAATGCCACGAAATCAGCAATATTTTCGGTTTTTATCGTCAATTGGAAAGGATATGCGAAGTATAGTCTCGACGTGACTCTGAAGATGGACAATCGTGCGAATGAAGACGTGGTACGTTCGTTTTTGGATTCTAGTTTCCAAAAGTCAGCCAGAGGAAGCCAATGACGAAGAGCAACTTCTGCCGTAATCTGGTTGTCCAAAAGTTTTAATGTAGTGTAGAGAGGAGCAGTCAGCATTTTGGTTTTGTTGTAAAAAGCCTTCGTTGAATGCTTGCGAAGTGACGCATACATTTGTTTTCATTGTGTCCAGGTTTAAAAGGAATTGCTCAATTAAAAAAATGGAAATCATTATGAAAAACTTACATCCGGCGAGAAAAGATCGAATACTATGAATTGAGACAAGAAGATAGATCCATTTACACAAAAACGGGTCGTTGTAATGGACAAAGTAGATAAAAGTGATAACAGTATCTGTTACAAATTTGTCTTCGAGGTAACTGTTTATTTTGGACACCCTATCAAGAGTCCTGCCTGTTTTAAATTTCAATTTTGATGCGTGGTTTTTTAATGGAGTGGCTGATTTATACATTTTAAATTTTATTTTCAGTTCACTTACACTGAGCTGCCTTCAAACGGCGATCAGATGGAGGCGGGGATTTGGTCACTAGTTCTTACTCACCCCGGATTGGATTGCTTGATTGAAGTCGACGAGTTCGTGATGTTTCCTGGAGAAGACCTAGATCTTAGAAGATCAGTTGGATGCAACCTCCTATAGGGCGTGACCAACTTAAAGTTACTTGAAAGCAACGGCGGACCACTGTGCAAAGGTGGCAAGCTGCTCCAAACTAAAGTTTAAGTTACCCGTTTATTTTTTGAAAGTCTTCTGCGTGATGTTCTTCGGGAAACTATGTCATTGATTCAAAGGTTTCTTGAGCTGAGTGAAAAAAGATTTGCATTCTAGGGTTCGCTTTAGAGTCAAGGCTGTTTGAATCTTTGAATGACGATTCATTTTTGAAATACTACACTGCGTCTGGGGATTACTAGTGGACTCTCTCACTCAACAAAATTCAGAGAATTTCGTCGAAGAGAAAAATTCGTTTCACTGTGCAGAGAAAATCGTTGTATAGAGTCTATCTGTACTACATTTTTGGAATTTGTCCATATCTATCAAAATTCTAGCATTATAAAACTTCGGTGCGTTGTTGTCTCTTGCTCGGACATGCTTCTTGTAAAGAAACTGTCGTAGAATGAGTGTTCATGAAAAGTTCTGTTGCAACTGAGGAATTGATTTAAATTAAGATGTGTACAGTATGTTTTTTTTAATTTATAAAACGGCTATGAAATAAGGATCCCAGCTGATAAGAAACCTCGAACCACAGGATCGAATGTCTTCCGTCAAGGAATAAGCTTGGTTTTTTACCATCCGAGAAATCACGAGTTTATTTTTGCGCGGAGAAGCTTTCTGTAATCTCTAATCTGTTGCGGATTCTTGACGTTCTTTTTATAATTTTTCTAGGTTTTCGTCGCTGAAGTTCTAAAGAAGAAATATACCGTCTAAATCACGAGTTTATTTTTGCGCGGAGAAGCTTTCTGTAATCTCTAATCTGTTGCGGATTCTTGACGTTCTTTTTATAATTTTTCTAGGTTTTCGTCGCTGAAGTTCTAAAGAAGAAATATACCGTCGAGAAGCATTGCTACGTTCATTCGACCAACGATTCCGATAATTCTTGTGAGCGTGCTTTTTGGAGCTCGTTGACGCCCGATGTCAAGTCGGAATTTATTCCGCTGACCTGCGATCCTTGTTAGCTTTGACATTCATGCTGGTGATGCAATTCCATGCGTTGACTTCAGGGGATTTTTTTTTGTGGACCAATAAGCTTTTCAGTGCTTATACAATTGGCATTATAATATTTTTTGGGGGAATTGTGACGGAATAAATGGATTGTTCACGAAGAAGGTTGTGCCTTTTTTTTGTGCGGCGTCGTATTTGAACATCATGTTAATTTCCAGTTCTATTTTTTTCTAGCAGGAGCAAAACAATTACAATGAAGGAAAACCAAGGAACAACTGTGGTGTGCTCGAAAGTAATTCTGGTGCCCTACAAAAAAGAACATGTACCCAAGCAAGTACACATTCTTTAAGCCATTTCCGGGAATTTCCGCGAGGATTTTATGATTTAATACATTCAAGGTATCACTGTTGGATGGAATCCGAAGAACTGAGGATATTGACTGCCTCGGAAAGACTCACTCTTGAGGAGGAGTACTTGAATCAAGTTTCGTGGATGGAAGATCCGAATAGTGAGCGAATATTTAGAAACAATGCTTCACGACAGGAAGTCTTCATTCATCACACTGCTCAAATGTTGTAAAACGTCACTTTTTGAGCGGAAGTATGATAGGCTTTTGTGATAGGGTTATGAAATAATGTAAACGGTTTCAGTATGAGAATTTAAATTTCATCAGTGTTCTTCTGTTTGTTTTCTGTTTCCTGTTTTTTTCTCCACCCTGTCAAGTGCTGTAACTACAATGTTTCTATTTCTTCTGGGAAAATGTCAAGAATATGCTAATTATTAAAACTGAAAGATTTTGCAAGGATTTTGTCAGAACAGGCAGGAGACGAGAGGGATACTTTCATCACCCATGTAAAAAATTCCGATTTTAGAAGAGCTGTAAAAATAATGAGGGATTAACTCATATTTTCCTTCGAATTCATGTATTTTTTGTGTTTTGGAAAGAAATGTGTCCCATTGAAAAAAATATTTGTTCAGGACAAAAGTTGCATTCAAATAAATCAAGTTCATGATGAAAGACACCAGCGCTCTTGTAAAAGAAAGAGATCCCTTTGTTTCCATTTATAGATGGTTCAATTTGAGGTATTATCGAAAAGGTATCACTCACTTCAATAAAACGACGCAGTGTGCAATTGCATTTCACGCAGTTCCAAGAACTATGAGAGTATTGGAAAAAATCGGCTACAAGATTGCTTTCTTAATTTTTGCTTTTGTTCGTTCAGAATGCACGTTCATCATTCTGGAGAAGACGAAGTATGACGAATCTTTGGATGAAATCGGTGCGTTGAATTTGTGCTCGTTTGTACTTCTTTATATGCGTGCTGTGTGTGTGATTTTAAATTTTCTTCACTTCTTTAATAGTCTCTATGATCGGGGATGTGAACCTGTTCCTGCAGTTATCTTCAGATGATGATCCTGAGTCCGGCGATGGGAAACTTTGTCAACCAGTTGCTGAAATTGAAATCATGATTGCGGAGGATGCAGCACGAGGCAAAGGTTTAGGCAAAGAATCTCTGCTTGCAATGATTATTTTTGGTAAGGATATTTAAATCATGACAATTCTTAAGTACGATATGCAGTGAAATCTAGTTTCTACGAACTCTCAGTATACAGGGACATTTGAGAAAATTTTCATGAGACTCGTGAGTTTCTGAACATTCAGGACTTAAATTGAACGGGAAGTTGCCTGTGTCATGTCGGGCTTCAATTGGAGCATTTTTAGGAAATGAACAGAGGCAGGCTGTGAAGTTTGTCCTGAATTATGCTGTTAACCAAATTTCAATTTTGAAAATTATTTTAATTTTTTCTGTGATACTGTAACTGTTTAGACTCTAGAGTCTAGACTATTGACACATCTTTCGTATTCTTATTTTTGAAACAGGACGTACAATTCTGGGGATCAATCGTTTCACGGCGAAAATCGGATTTGATAACCATGCGAGCATATCTTTGTTCCGGAATGTCGGATTTATTGAGGCATGTTGAACAATTATACGAATCCAATGGGGGCTTCTATTGACTTAAAAGTGATGCTTTTTCAGGTTTCTTCGTCTGCGATTTTCCGTGAAGTTGAGCTTCATTTCGTTCCAAATGATTCATGGATTTTGGAAACCAAAGAAAAAATTGATTTTTCGATGGTGAAACAGTGATGATCTGTTGAAATGACTGATGATGAACTTGTCCTTCAGTGTATTTGGAATATTTTTGATGAAAATGGATTATTTGAGATTAACTGATCAGCGTCGAACATTGATTTTATTTGGCCACTCTAAATTTACACGAATGGTCCGTTTAGAAGCAATTGAAAGATTGAGTAATTTCACCATGATTATCTTCTTCACTCTCATCTCCCATTTTATGATTATCATGGTTTTTGGAAGAACTACCTCCAAAGGGAGCATTTTTAAAGTGGTTGTAAGTTTCTTGAATTTAAAGCAAAACCTCTCAAAATCAAATTTCAGGGACCAGCAGAAAATTTTGAGTGAGGGAGGTTTCAAGTATGGGAAACAAGCATTTTTGTTTTGGGGAACGTCAAGGATTTGCAGAATATTGTAAATAGTGATATTCTGGGCCTTAATAAATTACTTCTTAAATGAGTGAACAAGATGCTGAACTTTGATGCAAGAGTTGATATGCCCAATTATTCTTTCACTTCCTTTTACAACTCATCAAGTTACATTTTCATTGTTTTTCTCTTTCCTGTGTCAATAAAATAGTAGCCAAAAGGCCCTTAGAAAATTTGAACTGTGGAGATTCAACTGGGAAAGTTTGGGGGGTTCTTAATGCAGTGTTTTTAAGGGAATTCAGATGGGTTTTGAAAATTTGACTTTGGGAGGTTCAACTTCAAGATATTTTAAATGCGACAAAGAATCTAATTAATCTGCTGGGACATTTGAAACATATATTTTTTGTTGTCAAGATGGAAAACAAGGGAATCAAGATGGTTAGCTTTGACCAACGTGAATTCGAAGGGACAGTCGAGTCAATTAAACGCGAGACCACTTTTCCAATTACAGAAGTTTATTATCATCCATCTCTTGAAGAAAAGAACCATGCCCCAAAGGGCTCACTAAAATTCCTATCGCGATGGCACAGAAAACAACAGGGAACTAGAACCCAAATACCACCAATTGCACGCAAGTTCAATTCGAAACGTAAAATTGCCCCCAACAAAAAGCTCAAATCAACAATATCTCCATTTGATCCACGTTAACATTGCCACTATTCGACTTCGCGCCAAAACTCCCGAGTCATCCCAACCGGGCTCCTCGAGACTGATGAACACTTTCTCCGTCGGTCGCTCACAGGGAAACAATCACATCCTAACACTTAATGTCTCTTCCACATCAGATCCACACGATAAGATGAAACTTTACAGCACCGATCATTAACAGCCATGATCACAATGCAAAGGATGTGTTACTAGTTCACTCAGGCGTCTAAATGCTTGCAGCGCATCATTCATTTTTTAAGACTTGATTTGAGACTCTTGAAAGGGTGACGCACCTTTTTCTCTAGAATACGCGGTGGCCACCAAGATTCCGAAGCCCAGGACTTATTGCACAGAATTACAGTAGTTTCGTCTTCCAGATGTTCGTTCAGTGGGTGTCTTCTCCCGAGTGCTTCAACTCTGCCAACTGCAAAATATTTGTACAATCAGTACAGTAAAACTCGATCATCTCCAGAAAACCCTCGAAAATGTTAGGATGTACAGCTGTTAATTAGGATTACAATACTGTAAGTCAATTCTTGAAACAAACATCAGGACGAAAATTTCAGTTGACGATGTCCTGGATTTTAGTCAAAACGCTTTTTATGGGATGGGCCAAAAATAGAAACTTTTTTAGATGATCAACACGCGATCAAATGATTGAACAAATAATCACCACTGTAGATAAGTTTAAGGATTATCTGAGAACCCAGCTTAAGCTTAAAGTACGGATTTTTATCCCACAAAAATATATGTACATACTTTATACAGTACATGAATAAATTTTCCCTGTGAAGAATCGCTGCCATCCAAATTTTCAATTGAAATGAAAGGGGTGTGACATTCTTGTTTGCATTAAGCATTGTTTCACAGAGCCTCTAATCTTATTTGTACCACAGCTACTTACGTGCAGAACATATTTATTTGATTTCCATGAAATAACTTCCCAAAGGAATCTCGAATGGATTCGTACGGCCACATAGCTTCATATTAGTCAGTTCNTCAGTTCATGACCCCCTATGGGAGCTGCTACCTTTTGGAAATCCTATGAGGGAATCTTCACATGCCTCGGCTAGTAGACATTTTCAAATAAAAGACCTCTCATTGAGAAGTCTTCTGAATTTAGAACATTAACAGCTGTAACCTGCTACAGTACAATGGATTTCTCATTTGTGACACAGGTTCTACGGTACAGTATTGCCTTGTATATCCAAATTTATTGTTGCAGTCAAACCCCGTTAAGACGTCCTCGTCAACTGCCAAATTACTTTGAAAACCAAATCTGTCCTCAAGATGAAAGCATTGGAACCTCCGTTAAAACGCCAAAATCATTGAGCATTCAAATGTGCTCCTGCCAATTAATTTTGTCTGCGATAGTCAGCCAATTTATACGTGAGGTTTATGATAAACACACACGCACACACATGAAATAATTTACTTCTTGAGAACACCAGCTATGCAAAATTCACGCATCCCATGGGTATTCGGATTGTTTTCTACGAGAATAAAAATTGAATATCCTATTACACCCAATTTTAATATCATTTTAGCCTTTTGATAAACTACTAATCCCCTTTAAGCAGCCACAAACCTAAGAAACAAATGGTGTCGGGTTATCGAGGTTCGAATGTACTTGAAAAAAGCAAGAATAGCTTCGAAGAGTAACGTGCCATCACTTCCACAAGCGAATTTCCGGAGTTTTTCTCGCAACCAGAACTAAGAAGTTTCGTCAACATTGGGGAAACGTACCTCGCGTTCTTCATCGATTTCATCCTCAGAGTCGCTCGCAGGAAGCGGAGTAGTGGCGCGGGAAGACGAAGGAGACGGCGGTTCGGAAATCGGACGCGGGTAGCTGAATCTGCCAATGCTTCGAGCGTCATCATCATCATCCTCTCCAATCAAATCCGGGAACACGCGATGCAATGCCAATCGGCGAGCATTGTGATAATACACGCCGAGATTGCGCCAATCCAAAATGTCAGACAAACGCTCGGTCCTGCATATGAAAGAAAAAAGAATTATCACTTACTAACGAGCAAATATGATCATGTGTAACACTTCTGGGCATGCGATAGTCGAAAGCAGTGCTCCCCTAACTTTTTGGGGCCCACGGACCAGCAAATTTCCATAAAATTTTCTTCAGATCGGCCAAGTTCCATAACATTTTTGCCAGACCAAAAGAAATTTTTTGAATACCTTCCATGAAGTCCTCCAACCAAAACTTTTATTTCGGAAATGAACTTGAGAACTGATGGAGCAGCTATATTGGAATGTCTCGAAAAAATAGAAAGCTGAGATTCAAGAAAGGTTTCTCAGAGGGAATTCTTGGAATAATTTATTTCAGCAGGCAAACATTTGTTTGAAATGTTATTTGGAGAAAAGCCAACTTTAATTTTTTATCACATAATTTCAACTGCCATTGTGATCCCAAAATTGTAGATGAAGATAACAGACTCCATCATCACCTTGGGAAATTTATTATGCTGAAGAAAATTCCCGCGGACCCTCAAAAACTTCTGCCAACTAAAAATGAAAAATAAATCGGCATAGAAAAATTTTCCACATTGTCTAGCGTGGCCCGCACGAACCCTCCGCAACGTGGCCCTTGACAACAGAACATGCGTTGATGCCCTTGGCCACATCTGAGTTGGACATCACTGGTCTAAAGCTTAAGCATACACCATTTCAAGCTTCAATCATTAGTCATAAAAAATTCCGCAACTTTCCGCTTTACATATTACACAATAAAATCCCAAGTCGTCGATTACGCGTGAGCTTAGGAATTCTACACGCTCAATCGTACTTCGATCTCCTCTCGCGTAGAGATTCAATAACTACGAGTAGAGAAAATTAATTCCCACGGTTATTCGAAATCCGATCGACTGAACACACCTGTTGCGCTGGATAATCCTTTGCCTCCTGTTAAGCTTCGTGTAGTCGAACATGTAATGAGCCAACTGTTGCACCGATTCCTCCGCATTTTTGTGTCGCCTATCGACAATATAGATTCCGTAAGACATTGGGTCGGAGATGTGGTCCGCCATGAAGCATCCGAAACCTGAGAAAACAGAAGATATAATTTCCCTGATTCAAACGTTTTCAGATTTTTTTTGCAGCTGTAACGTTAACCCTGAAGATTGCTTTCCGGAATGTCAAGGTTTAGCTTGAATACCAACTACAATGGATCGAATTTTTCACCATACAGTATAACCAGAAGTAAAAAGTAAACAGAAAATTAAGCACGACAACAAAATGAAAACACAGGCGACACCTATGCTTTAAAAAATAGAAGGAAGCATTTGTGGACAAAATGCGTCGAAATGAAGAAACCGAACATGAAGGTGACAGCATTCGAACTCGGGAAATAATCCGCTTTTCCTTTCGCCAGAACACCTCATTGTCACAAAAGTATGAAGACAATTCTCACAATTTTTCGTCCAAAAAATTTACGAAGTGAAGATGATCAACATTCACTGACAAAGTCAACACATCTTCTAGAACAGCATAAAGCACGTAGAATAAACCCTCAAATACGGCATAAGCAGTAACTGTATCCGACAGAATTAGTTACAGTCAAACCCTGTTCAGACGCCTCCCAATAACGCGCCACCCTCGATAACTGCCAAAATGTTGCATGAAACATATCTCCTCAATGATAAATACCCTAGCAATCCTCTATAAGACGCCAATTGCCAACACTAATGGTGGAACAAACGTGCTGTTTGGCATTAGTTTTTTCTCCTTTACAACGCCAAATCGGGGTAAGAATTATAATTTCTGTCTACGAACGTGCCTTTTAAAGAAAATATAAGGCAATGTTCATTCTTTTGATCAGGAGATAGATTCAACCTTTGAAATTCAAATAAGTTTGATAGAATAAAATTCATTTTCTGAAAGAGGAATCTATCACATCAATACTCTTCGAACAAAAATTCCTATTAATTTCAAGGAACAATGTATTTCTGATGTTTTTGGAGGAAAATCGTAGGAGTTGAAAGATGAACTTTTCAATAAGCTGCCAAAAAGCTCCAGAGAAATAGTGGCGTACTCATCCGGGTTTGAAGGGAATATACGGAAGAAAATCTGACCCTTCGCTCACCTCTGAAAAATTTTCAGTAAGTTACGAGAGCCAATAATTCGAAGTAAGCTTCACTAATAAAGAAAATGATACTAATAATAAATTATCAGAAAAAAAAACGTGACCAAGGGTTCAATCGACGATTAGACCAAATTGTCGGAAAAGCGCGACTTCTTTCGAAAGAAATACTGGGCCTCGAGGATTCCTCACCAGACAGATTCGTCG